TAATGAATGACAAGAACGATGTCGGTTCGCTGCCACATCTTTCAGTGTCTTCAAACAACGAGTTGCAGTCTTTTGAGACCCTTTTAGATCAAAGAACACTACCATTGTTGGCCGACGTTCTGTGTGATGCCATCCGAGGACTCGATGCAGAGTGAAGGTTTTTTCGATGCAACCGCCACCTGGTCGGAATCCGGCTTGCTGTTCGCTGGTATTCATCTCCCTTAAGAGTTTTAGGTGGCAACGTATCACAAAAGTCAGCACTTGTGATCTGAGCTAAACTAATTCCGCGGTGTTTTGCGCAGTCGTTTCGTGGTCCCTTCGAGAAAATCGGAACGATCAACGATTCACTTCACGCTTCTGCGACCAGATGCTGCGAAGTAAGTTAGTAATAGATTCGACATTGCAGTCACCACCAAACTTGAAAAAATGGAGAGAAGCCCGTCAGATACCACTGAATTCCCTTTCCCTTCAACGATCGTCATTCTGATGGGAACTCACATGTTACCATCCGTAGAGTTTCCGCTGCAATTGCCGGAATAAACGCATTAGCACTAGGCCAATTAAGCTGTTCACTAAAATACTCTATCCAGTGATCAATTCGTTCTTTATTGTGGATACTCTGTCCACAATCTCCAGTTTCGTTTTCGATTTGCACAACCGTTAACCATGCACTATCGTGTGTCGGTTTTGGTTGCTGTCTTTTGGCTGCCCATTTTGATGTTCATTAGCAGGAAGACAGAGAAGGTTGAAATTAGGATGAAAGAGAAAATTTAGAAATTGAGTATACTAATTTTGCACAGAAGTTGACAAGATGCACGAACGCCACTGTTTACGACACCCAGCCATATCACTCAGTCTCTAACCATCGGTTACGAGGTCCCAAGCCAGGGAGCCTAGCGGGACCTATGTGATCCAGACTGGTTAGGGTTTTCATACCCTCATGCCAGGTCTTAGCTTGACGACCCTTGGTTTTCTTCCACCCACTACCTGCTTCGACGGACGTCACTCGACGTGGCAACCTATTTGGTGACATGCGTCACACATGCCTCGAACAACGTAATCTATGAAGGTCGACCACTTGCTCCAGTGGACGACCGCGACTGCCTAAAACTCTGCGCCTAGCATCAGCATTGCTCGCCCGGCTGCCCCACCGGACTCGTGCAATGCTGCGTAGACAGCGGTGATCAAACACCGACAGTCTGTCTTTATCTTGTTTTCACAATGGCCAAGTTGCTGTATAGCAGAACTGGCCGAACTGCTGCAGCATACACTCCACCCTTCACAGACAGCCGGATGTCGCGACGGCGCCACAGATGTCTCAAGTTGACAAATGCCACACGAGCTTTCTGTATGCGCCCCGAAAATTCATCCGTGACCCGTCCACCGGGTGAGATGTAGCTGCGGAAATAACAAAACTTGTCCACCTACTTTAATACTCCCCCAGTTAGAATGATGCTATGTGCTGGAGCATTTTACACTTTGAGGGTGCAAAACGCATACCACATATGGCTACACTGGCATTCAAGCTGTCCAGAAAAGCTTGCAACTTACCTGGATCTTCACTTAGTAGTACAATGTCGTCTGCATACTCGAGATTAGATAGCCTACCATCTGGGAGAAAACCACCACTATCGCACGAGGATAGGGCCGTTTCAATAATTAAATCTATTACAAAGTTAAATCAAAAGAAAGAGAGTAACCCCGACAAACTACTTTCCGTGGTGAACTTGGGTCCATAATCTCCAGTGGTGTCACTGACCGGTATGCGATGATCAGTGTTGTTTATCAGAGGAAACAGTCTCTTACTATCTCGTAATAAAGAGGCTACCTCAGTTTCACTAGCTATTTTGATCCATCAGGATAACTGACTCCTGAGAGATCTAATGTCTTCGGAGAACTTCGGGCTCAGTCTCACAAGCAAACTTGGCTGCTGAGTGCATCGCAAATCTAATTTGATCCCACTTTCGGTCTACTGCATTAAGTCGCGGTGCTCCCAGCTTCCGTGTCAGAACGAGCGCAGACAGATGGATCGCGCAAACGATGATGAGCTAACTGAAGAGACGATTTCGGTGGATGACCGATGAAGCGAGGAGTGAAGCATAACAGAACGCGAGCGTGATCCAACTCAGTGCAGGTGGACCAATAGAGTCTACGGTTTTTGTAATGAACTCCGCCAACAGTAGCTTACAAGTATGTGATCAATTCCGGTCAACTTTCCTGTTGAACTAGAATACCATGCTGCTGTTCGACGAGAGCTGTCGAAAGTTGGTGCTAGATAAGAACAGCCGGTGAGCCGAGCAGAACTAAAGTAGTCATTCACCGTTGTCTGTTTGCTGGGTGGGCAGAGCGAAGTGCTCCCCTAAACAGGCTTCTGACACACTCAGTTTTCCAAACTGCGCGCTAAAATCACCTGCCAACACTATAGTATTGGCACTGGCTTAACCGAATGATTCCGGCGAGTTTGTGGTAAACTACGTCCTTTTGTGATGTGAGACTGCAGTTGGTTAGTGCATATGAAGAAGTGATGAACAAACACCTTTGGTGTTGTTGCCCTTCCGAACACTAACTGAACCCCGGAGCCTCATTACAAAAAAACGACTAATGACGGGTATCCAATCTATCAGTGAGACTTCAGCCTTATCGTTTAGTACGATCTTCACACCACACTGACCCAGGAGGGAGCTTCATCGTCTCCTGGTGTGTGAAGGAATTACCTCGAGGACAGACTCGGTCATCATCAGCATCATCGTACAGCGAAATACAGAGAAGTGAACTTCACTAATCGCTGCCAAGCTCGCAATGCATACGCACTGGGGTTTGATGGACAGGTACTGCTAGGATATCCAGCCAATAAGCAGGAGAACGATTAGGGTTCTCAACCAAAGCCTTCAGTTATGAAAGAACCTGACCGCAAAGCAGCGGGTGAAGCAAAGTGGAGGCCCGTTTACTTGGACCGATTACTCTACAATTTTTGCCGGTTAAAACAAATTCTAGTCGAACCCCCAACCATCATCATCATCATTTTACTTCAAAAAAGAACTCTCAACCTGGAGGACCAGGAGACTGGACTTCGTCTGACCTCTACCCTTCTACCTTCCAGGCATGATTCAATC